AACCTCGACCTCCGTGGGATCAATATTTGGGGCTTAATCAGAAAGTCATATATTACTTGATAACGATACGTATACTTGCATAGAATCACTAGAAATATAAATGAAATCTTACTTTACATGGGATCAAGTTTTTAGTGTCATTACCGGGGATTAAAATCTTCAAGTAGTGGTGTTAACTTCTTAAATTCTACATATAAAAAAAGAACATCGAGATCACATAACTTGTTTTACTGTGTTGCATGTTGTAATTTGCTTCATTTACAATTATGAAGGTTTAAGAGGATTGGTAGTGATTATAGTGTATCTATCTTGTGCACCTGGCCAATATGAGGATCTGTGTGCTTTTTTGGTGAAATTGTGGCATATTTGTTTCCATTATCACATGGTTTGATGCATAGCGATATGTGGAAAGCTTCTCTATTGAGGGAAGTGATGTTGAATCTACTTTGTTGGGCTGACATCAACCAAGTGTTTCCCAGAAAAGTGATTCCCATTGTTGTTCTTCGTTGAGGGAAGTGATGTTAAATCATTGAATAACCTGAGCTTAAGATAGAATTTTTCTTTGTTGTCAAACAATTGATGTTGGCATGGGGTTCACCTTCTCAGGCAGCCTTTGAAGAACGACAATGCTGCCATTAGGTAAAGTGAATCATGTATAATTTAAATATGTAAGAATTATGTGCTTTGTACATAAATTTTCCATTTTTTATCAGTAGAAAGTTGCTTGGGCATCCCAGTGAATCAAGCATCGTTCTTATTTTCAAGGGGGTTCATATGTGCAGTTTAATTCAAAATTTATCATATATAAATTTTTTGGCTTCATATTTTGATAGATGTTATGAGTTAGGGGTCGGTTTGGGGAGCAAGCTATCATAAGGAAGGGAATGATATCAATTGTGTTAAATCTCGTTGCTTTCCTACCAGTCTCGTGCTCTCCAAAAATGTGCATTTTTACATTTATATCACCAGAATATTTCACATCACAAAAAATACTAATATTTCATTTTTTTATGAAAATTAGATTGAAGATTATGGGTTAATGTATAAATACATATAAATCACTAACGTCCTTCTTTTGTTTTTTTTATAGAAAAAAATAAGCTCAAAGTTTTCAGGGAACTCCAAGCAAGTGTTTTGCCGCTGGGGACTGTCTACTGTGTTGCTCACATCGCACCAGCCACATAGCTACGACCGACGATTCTACAGGTGCCCACGATGGGCAAACAGTCCGGACAGGTGAAAGTTCTTCAGGTGGGCAGACATTCCAACTTATATCACTGCCCATAGCGATCGGGACTCGACAATATCCCAATCGGACAGCATTGATCGAGGTTCGATGACATCTCAACTAGAGAAGGTTGCTCCAAACTTGGCCCTTCTACATTTTAAGATGATAATTTTGTTTTTTTTTATTAGGTTTGTAGATAGTCTCCCTTGAGTGAGGAGCATTTCTTTTTTTTTTTTTTGAACTGTTAGGTAGTGCTTTTTTGGATTTTAGTATATTGAATGTTTTCCCATTATATTACTGTTGCAAACAGCTCGACTACGTGTGTCTGAAATGATCATTTTTCCAAAAACAGCTGCAAATCAGATATTTACAAACTGCAGAAACCAAACATCTTAACAATTTATTCAGTTCAGGGGAAGAATGGTCATTTATCCAGAAACAGCTGCAAATCAGATGTTTTAGAAGCGCACAAACCAAATAAACAAACAACTTATCAGGATTAGTTGTAGATACGTCAGCTGTAGATACGCAGTTTATCAGGATAAGCTGTAGCTGCCCCAAACAGACCATAAGTCTACAATTTCCAAATGTCATTATGTACTTTTAGAGTTTAGAAAAAATATGAATTGGAAAAAAAGTTATAGACATGGGTCCCTTGGAGCTTGAGATTTAGGACCTGATTGCTCATTTTTCATACATTAATTCCTAATATATTGTTGAATGGATCTAGCTTTGAATTGTATATGAAGTCAAACGTAGTATTCATATGTTTTTATTTTTAAGTGCACTAGTGTTAATTTGATCTATTTTATAACCGTATGGTTATTTGTGTAAGCTCAGACGTGTTTAAACTCCTATACCAAAATAAATTTTATAGAAAACTTGATAAATTCTCAAACTAAAAAAAAATGTAGGCTCAACTTCTCAAATTTTCATAAAAAATACCTCTTTCCAGCATAGCTTATGGCCAGACTTGGACAAACTAAAAGATTTAGAAATATAAAATTTTAGAACTCCTGTTGTGATCGTAAGATTATAGTCATAGTTTATGCTTCTCACATCAATCACAATAGATAGTTCTGCCCAACATTTAGCCACTGCTGGATAATATTTATATCATGTCCTAACTCATGTCTGTTAATAGAACCTCCACTTTAGGGCATGGCATTAGATAATTATCCATATAATATCATGCCGCTTGAGCCTATATAATTTTCATGAGGTAAAAAATATTCATAGCCTAAATAGAATTATATACCACTGTTCACTAGTCATGACTCTTATAGTCAGACTACTTTTCTTTCATTCTCTTAAATAGGCACATTATCATGTTTTGATAAAGACAAGTCATTTTCTAGATATTTCTTGTCAGATAATGTATGGTAATTCAAAATCAATACGTTTAGGTTGGAATCTAAGAAATCCTCTTGGACTACAAAATTCATCGATTGTTGTTAAGGATTTATAGGCTAAAATTGGGTTGACTAACTCTACAGCTATGTAGATTTAGATTTTGATAACACGGGATGATAGATCCTCAAAATCTTGATTGATTATGTCCATCTATCTTCTTTACCTATCCTAGAAACAACTTTGAGCCATTTTATTTCTTTTGATATGTTGGTTGATATTATTTTGTAGGCACCCATTTGTTGTTAGGTTGGCATCTATTGGGATGTGTTAATGCATGAAATTACCTCTATTGTAGTAATAATTGTCATTCCTTGATACATCATGTAAAAAGAGTATAAACCACAAATAAAATTTCTTTAATCGAGAGTTTATTGGATATACCCCAAGACGTAACTAACCAAAAGAAAAGTATTTCTTTGGAAATGCTATCATACCAAAAATAAAAATAGATTTGGAATCTCTAGTTTTAAGTGGAATGTCTTCATAGGTTCACAATAAAATGTGTGGATCGAGTTAGTCCAATTCATTCTCAGATTTTCGCTTTCAACTCATCTTACAAAAACCGTTCTATAAATAAATTTTCGCATTCCTCTTTGTTATAATTATGTTCTCTCTATTTATTACTTCTCCGAACTTGTTTCTGAGTAAGGAGGCTGTAAAGAAGAAATATAAAAAGGTCACTTGAATGTAACAAAAAAGTGCAACAAAAAAATGGCCACTCTGCTGGAATTGCACTCACAATCCTTTTAGAAGTTTTGCTTATGGTTTATAATTTTCTGTCTATAACAATCCTTTTAGCTTACTAATTAATATAATCTAGACCATAAACACATATCTTTATTCTTCTGCGATACTATCACTAGGGTTAGTAGACTGGATTTTTACTAATGCCTCTTTGTGCCCTCAACATTAACTTCTTATTTTCTTGTATAAAGATTTAATGTTAGTCTCTTTCGATTGACATGATTGTTATGGCCGCCAAAAAGTCATTACAATCGAGTCTACTGACGCGCTTCATTGCACTTACCGCCAATGTTTTTCATATTGAATGAGGGATGATCACATTGACTGTAGAGCATCTTACAAAAGTCATTAATACAAATCCACTCCAGCTGAGGTGTAAGCTGTGTCATCCCAAGAGAAACGGGAGTCGGGTATATAGCAATGTTTGCGTTGGCATTGCTTGTTTATATATCAATCCTTCCTTCCGGAAGAGATCAGTGTTAGATGATAAGCTATCACAATACGCTTCTATTTTGCTAGACTTTCTAGTGTTTACTGTCTTTTGTAGAGTATATGGTTCATTTATTGAAATACCAGTGCCTCGTACTCATATTAATGTTGTTGCGTGATAGGTTATTACTCTTTCAGCTGCCCCGACTATATTTGTCTTAGATTCTTCTAATGATTTTTCTATTCTAAAATTGGACAGAAAAGTCAGGAAAATCAAAAATAGGCTATTAAGAGCCCAGTAGAGACGAGAATGGCAACAACAATCTCTTTTGCTTATACCACCTAGAACAAAATTCTAAATTTCACTGGCAGAGAATAATCTGATTGATAGTGTTCATCGTGTTCCTGTTAAAATTGATAGAAAAATTATTTCTCGTGCATATTGATGAAAATGACTTGTGGCTCAACAAAAAGAAAAGTAAGACTTACATGCATACATCTTAATTCATATGCATTTACATATCTACCACCAAAACTTCAATTTTTACATATAGGCAGCTTAACTTATGGGAGAAGATGTATTTCAATTTTTAAATTTTAAATTAGTGATGTTCTCGATGTGACATGAATAAATTGGGTGGTATAAATATAAAATGTAAGACTAAGGTGTTAAATACGTAAATACATAGGAATTGGATGGTATGTATGTAAATGGCACAAAAAAACCAAAAAATTGCATATCCAACGGACCAACCATATAATGAGTGATTCTGCGTCTAACTTAAAGGTAAAAAAGAGCCATCACTTACAAAACAAAATATATTATAAACAAATTTCAAGAGCTTACTCCTAAATCTGTGTTATTCACGATGCTAAAGGCTTTTATATTCAGTTGATGACAATTTCAATGAATACAATACCCTTCAAGAAAATCAGTCCTCACAAATGCCTAAGAATGCTTTCTATATAGTCTCACCATGTCTTGCACATTTTAGTGTGTTAGAAGCATCAAGGTATGCAGATTTATACAGGAAAATTTTTCCGTCTGGAAGGATCTCAATGCCGCCGAATTTACTTTGAAACAGTATAATACAAATTCTCCATGTATTACACTCATATGAAAACAAATCTAGTAGATTTGAGACCCGAGGTTAACATTTCTTCATTTATGATCTGAACTACTTCATGAAAAAACATTTCGCAAGTGACATTAAGTAGTAGTATTTAATGGATATAAAGTACATAAGATTTAGAAAATAAAGTGGTAACAGTTCATATAAGATGAAGACAAGAACTTAGCTGCTAGGCTTTTTCTAGTAATCCTTCAAGAAGGTGTTGAATCCTGTACTTCATCACAGGTTGTCCAGATCGAGTTCTCTTGGACATGTTATCCCTGAGGAGCTTGCGTTTCGCTTCAGCTATTGCTCTCTCCTCCTTCTTGGCCTGCAGCACTGCCTCTCTATCCATCCGTAACTTCTCTGCTTCAATTCTCTTTTTCACAACTTCTTCCTCTAAATCCTTCAAGCTAAATTTCTTCTTTTTTCTGATCTTGTGGGATTTCAGCCCACTCTCATCTTCATTCGTAGCCTGCAGAGTATAGTCAATTATCAATTTCATTTTGAAAAACAAGATAATGGGGTATCAATAAGGCTTTTCACAGAAAGCCTAACATTAAGTTAAGTTGAGAAACTTTAACCACAAGAAACCCTTAAAATGAAACCTAACCAGGATTAAGAGTTTCCAATCATTGAAAAAGTTGGATTGGAATGAATAAGAGTGATCAGAGATGGTTAATGAGATTGAAACATTCATGCAATCACAAGTTAATTCTCAATCAAGCTATTAAACGGGTATAGCAGAGGTGACTCATTAATGTAAATGAAAAAATAAGGCAAACCTCAATAATTGAGAGTGAATGACGCTTCTCGTCAAACTGGCTTTCACCCTTGATCGATTTTTTAAACTTGCTAACATATTTCGCATTTCTATAGAATTCCCTTTGCTTTTCTGGAAAAGAGATAAAACTGCAATGTAACACTTTATGGAGAACACGGATAGAATAAAAATCTTGTTCAAGAAAATTTTCATGCTTAAAATACCCAGTAAAATCCTGGAATGCTATAGATCCAAGTGCAAACTGGCATTCACTATCCTTATCAAGCAATCAAGAGGATGGCTTTAATGTTAAACTTATTTCCCTAAAGTCTCAAACCTAGCTTGAATCATCAGCTATATTTCATTTTGCTCGATCAAACCACCATATCATCCCTTAAGACTACAATGAATTTTAAATGTAAATACGAAGTGCTTAGAAGATTCATCCTAAATCATATCTTGTTTTTGTAACCACAAAATTCATGCTGCACCAATCAAATGAATTTCATAACTAATTTGTAATCAGAAATCTAAAAAAGGCAATCAAAGTACGCTATTAGCATGTTTTGTTGAAGCGTCCTCGCCTTTACAACAAGCAATAGCTAATAACAAGACATTTCTTTTCGTTTAGCTAAAAACCAGCCATGTTTCGACTTTCAACATCTAGTTTACAACCAGAAACTAAAAAAGCTATAGAAATTGAGGGCGATAACCAAGGTTTAAAATTCATTCTTAATAAAAACACAGTATGAAGTAGAAATTTAAAGCTAGCATGGTGTCGAGCGATAATCAATCGGAGTGCTTACTGATGAAGGAGGGATTGTAACCAGAAGGCATGGATTTAGCGTTGGCAAAGGCCTCGAGAGAGAGGGCTTTCCCTCCTATTCGCCTCTCGTTCTTCTTCCGGTTTCTTTTGTAATTTCCATCACGATTCCCAACTTGGTCAAATTCTTCGCGCTTCTTCATCTGATAAAGGTTGTAATTGTGGCCAAAGACGAGAATTGAAGACAAAACCTAGATGAAGTAGAAAGCAAAGATCTGCCAACACCAGCAATCGGTATGGAATCGCAGACTCTAAGGAGAGCGGGAAACCCTAGCTTGCCCCCTGCTTATCTAACGTAGTGTACGAACCGTCTCAAAGGCTAAACCAGACAATAATGGATCCTTCTAACATGCACTTGAAATTGGTCTACAATATATCAAAAAAAATATTACATCAATAATATGCACGTAAAGTAATGTGCGTAATCAATGAAATAACGCCACGACATTCCACGTGAAAGGAAAAAACGGCATAGTAACACGGAAAATATTCCCTCTTGTGTTATTCATGTGTTATTGTGTGTTATTCATGTGTTATTGTGTCCTGAGAATATTTCTGATTTTATAATAACACAATACCACATCAATAACACATGAATAACACACAATAACACATGAATAGCATGGGGAGAATATTCCCTCGTGTTACCGCGTCGTTTTTTTCTGTCGGGAATATTCCCCCCATGTTATTCTGGTGTTATTATGTGTTATTCATGTGTTATTGTATCCTGAAAATATTTTTGGTGTTATAATAACACAATAACACATCAGTAACACATGAATAACACACAATAACACATGAATAACATGAGAAAATATTCCCCGTGTTACCGCGTCGTTTTTTTTTCCTATCGCGTGGGGTGTCGTGGCGTGATTTCATTAGATGTGCACATTACTCTACGTGCGTAGTACTGAGGTAATATTTTTCACAATATATCAGGCTTGTTTGGGGGCATTTACATGCATGTGAGCCAACTCCTATGTATTTGTATTTCTAACATCAAAAATTTATTTCTGTACATTAAACTATCAAATCTTTCGTATATCTTCATTCTCTTAATTTTTAATAATTGAAATACATATTACATGCACAAATGATGTGGTGTTTGTGTGATATATATATATATATATATAATTTAAAGTTATGGCGGCGGCTAGGGTTCCTCCCTCCTCTGGCATTTTCGACGACAATGGTTTCCCATCTTTCTGCCTTGGGTTTTCCAGGTGACTTCTCCCCAATCTCTTCGATTGCTTTCGGTTTGAGACTTTTTCGAGGTTTCGCTCTTCTTCTCCTTCGTTTTTTGACTTTCGTTTTGCTACATATTGGTCTCTCGGGCATGCCATGGCCCCTACTTTTGCTGAAGCGGTTGTGGGAACTCATGTTTCCTCCAAGGCTTTGAGTAATAATTTGCTTTTTCCTAATTCGTTCTACGAATCTCTTGTTTTAGGAGGGGAATATAATTTTATTAAGAAATCCAGAAAAAGGGGGGAAAACTTGCTTTATACCTGTCTGATTCGGAGAACTCGATACTTGCTTCATCTTGTCGTCTAAATTTAGTGGGAAAATTTTTATATGGACATCCGAAGACCGATTTTATTTGCAAGCATTTTGAACTCATGAATCTTGTTGGAAGTTGGAAAGTTGGCCCTTTGGATGCCCGACACATTTTGATTCAACTTTTTAGTGAAGAAGACTATGCAAGAATTTTTGAGATGCGTTTTATGTGGTTTGATGATATTTTTATAAAGATTCTTAAGTGGTCAGTTGATTTTGATGCGAAGTCTAAACTTCCTATTATTCTTGTATGGCTCCGTTTACCGGGTTTGAAGGTTCAGCTTTTTAATCACGAAATTTTATTCTCTATTATTTTCTATTGCTGCGATGTTTGGCAAACCGTTAAAATTAGATGCTCCTACTTTTAATTTATCTAGGCCTTCCATGGCTATAATTTTGATTGAGTGTGATGTCACTTTGCCTCCCCCTGAGGAGGTCTGGATTGGATCGGCCCATAACGGTTATTGGCAGCAGGTACATTTGGAACAACACCCTCGTCACTGTGGTCATTGTAGAATGTTTGGTCATGATTCGGTTCAGTGTTTCCATCTTCACCCGGAATTGCACAATAGGAATGGTGGGCAAAATCAACATAAGCTTTCTGTCGAAAAGGCCCCAACAACCTCTTTGTTGGCTGAGTGTGTGGAGACTACGGTTGTGCCTATTGGGGGTGTTTTGAATGTTGGGGGTGTGTACACTACTGTGACATCCACTGATTTGATTATGAAGGATGTTGGTGAGGGTCCTCGACCTTTGGAGGACTCTCGTGCTGATGATACTTTTACAATTAATGATATTTATGCTCCTTTAGAGAATGAGTTTCATGGGTGTCTGGGTAATTCGGTCCATGTGGATGCTACTGTGGAGATTGGATCTTTACATGGAAATATACATGCTATTGATCCTATTAATTTAGTTTCTACTCCCTCTAACACTTCTGGTTCTGGGTCACAGGGGCGTGAGGGGACTATTGTACCTGATAATGTCGTTGATGTGGGTGTAGTTTCCAATCTCCTTGGGGAGGAATGGCAAGTACAGAAATCACGTCGGAGAAGAAAAAAAAGGGAATTATGAGTTGGCTAACCTAAGGTATGGCAGTAATATGGATTCTCTTGATCAATCTCACTCTGATAGCGAAATCAGACAAACCCGAACTAGAATTTCTAGTAAGGGTTCTTTGTCCACTGATGTTTAATATTTTGATTTGGAATATCAGGGGAGTTGCGGATCCTAACTCCCTTGGTAGATTGAAGCTTTTAACTAGGATTCATAAAATTGGCATCTTCTCGATTTTGGAACCAATGGTTTCTTCTTATCATGATCGGATTTTGGGGAAATTTAAACACTTCTCCTGCTTTCGTAACTGCTCTAATAAGATTTGGATTTTTTGGAGGAAACATATTTGTATGGATATCATTGCGGATGATGGACAGTTTGTCCATACTTTTTTCTCTATTGATGATTTCTCGGGTTGGCTTACCTTTGTGTATGCTAGCACGTCCACTTCGGCTCGGTATGAGTTATGGAACAAGATTAATTGCTTGGCCAATGTTATTAATGATAAATGGATGGTGGGGGGAGACTTTAATATGATTTTGAATAGTACTGAGAAATTGGGTGGCCGTAGGGCCGTCCCTTCTTTGATGAATAACTTTGGCAAAACTATGGTGGATGCAGGTTTAGCTGATTTGGGATTTATTGGTTCCAAATACACTTGGAAGCGAGGTAAGGTCTTTGAGAGACTTGATAGATGTTTTGCTAATCAAAATTGGCTCTCTTTTTATGGTTTTTCTCAGGTTCAACATCTTTCGAGCTCAGGCTTGGATCACAAATCGCTCCTTTTATCCTTTGACTTCTTTAAGAATGCTACTACGCATCACTTTCGCTATTTTAATGTTTGGTCTAAGCATGATGATTTTTTAAGACTTGTTGCTGATAATTGGAATGTTGCTGATGCTGGAAATGCTTGGTTCAGACTTTGGAAACTTCACAAAAAAGTGGCAAGTGCCCTTAGAGCTTGGAATTGGGAGGTGTTTGGTGTGTTCATGCTAGGGTGATTAAGGCTGAGAGAATGGTTCAACATCTTCAGGCTATTGATGAATCTTCTAATGATGTGGTTACTCAGTTACAAAATGCTCATAATGAACTCCTTGCTGCATCCATTCAGGAGGAAGAGTTATTGCAACAAAAGGCGGGAGAGGTACATTTTGTCCATGGGGATAGGAATACGAAATATTTTTATGCTTGCATAAAACAACGTCGTGTGAATAATACTATTATTCGCATTAAAGATGAATGTGGTAATTGGATTACGGGCAATCGAGATCTGGGAGTTAGTGCTGTGCAATATTTTCAAAATTTGTTTCTCCCTTCTCAAAATACTGGCACCATTGATAGTGCTCTCTTTAATGATGTACGAGATTACACTGACAATTTAGAGCT